TTCCGGGATCTGCGGAAGACTTTCGCGGCGCCATTGTCGCAAAGATTTGACAATACAACTGCTCGCGTTGAGGAATGGACTCAGAGCCTGGCGAATATCCCTTGGTGGGATCCAGCCAGTCGCGTGGTCTGTGCGCAGGTGAATGCAAACAGACGCGACAGCCAATGGAACGACAGGAGAAAGCCAAGCCCGGAGGTGGCAGCCTGGCGCACCGTAGCCCCTCTGTCTATAAGAGCTTGCCCACCGTCTTGCAACTGCTCTCCTCCTCGCCCTCCACCTCACATCGTTTTCGGCTGTGGACTTGGAGAAGTCGAGAAGAGCTCAACCCGAGCTCAACGATATCGGAGAGTCCGACAAGGTAGCGTCATCCCCGCGAGAGCCCCTCGTTCACATTATCTGGAGCCGCAGGCGGGCTCCAGCCGTCCTCGCTAACAAGTCTTCTTCCACTCTTTTCACACAGCTTGTCCAATACTTCCTGATACCTCGGCTCACAAGCGTTAAGGATTGGGGTGGAGACGTTGACGGACGCTTACGACCCTGGTCTCACGAGGTGTCGTTGCGCTGACGAGCATTATGTGTCGGCACCTCAACGCTCAATTCGATCTGTGGTTTTTGCAGTGCTACCTACGATCGACGGAACGGCGACATCCATGCACCTTCTCCACACTCCGCCAAAGGGAAGCGCGACTTCGCGTCTACCCTTTGCCCGTTTGTGGTCTCGCCGGGAGGTGGTGAGCAACGATATCCTTCGGGATTGCTCATCTCACACGGCAGGAAGCAGGCGGAGCTCGTCTCCAGCAATGGACTCCGGTCCAGCTTCTGAGTGACAGGTACCTACGGGAAACCGGCTCGTCGAGTGGATAGTTGAAGATGCGGGAACGTGAGCCCGGTTACCACAACGAAGGTCTCGAGACCTAAGGTAGAGGCTTATTGGGGCCTTTACTGACGATCGAACGGCGGAACCAACACCCACCTTTTTTTCGTTGACATTGCTGCTTTATGCAGTCTGTTGAAGAAGATATAGTAAGGTAGTATCAAGAACACGAAAAAGAACTGAAGAACGCGCTTTTCAATACGACTGCATACTGTCGTGCATATCATCGAAGTGTGAGAGTTGAGATGATGTCGGCAGCTCTTTCTCCAGCTGGGCCGCTACGTCACCTACTAACGGCATTCGGTGTAGCGTCGCGCGTCTCACCAGCCCACCTGGGCAGCACCGGAGGATACCATGAGCATTAAGCACCTGAGACGTGTACTCTACTGTTTCTCCTCTCAAACAAGTCGACAATGCCTGAAACCCGATGTGGCGATCAACATGTACGGAACCGAAAACCACGCACTCAGGATCAAGGCCCGCCCGTGCCACCAAAGACTCTCAGCACATCCATCAAACGCGTCGCGGCACCTAGTCCCTTAGACCTACATACGCACACGAAACCACTCCCATCAGTGCCTTCCTTGCCATTAGTCGCTTCAGTTACGCAAGAGCAGCAATTGAAACCGCTGCCAGCACCGCCAAAGGACTCCACATTACGATTGACCTTGCTCTGGGTCGCAGCCTTCTGTGTGTGGTTTTTCCTAATTGTGGTATTACTACCCGTAATCACAGAGAAAGACGCAATGCCCGGTTTCAACAAATGGCTTCGTACGCTGCTATGAACAAAGCTACGTGTTCAGGGTAGTATAGAAAGTTTCATGACTACAACTTCGACTCCGCCTTCGTCGCATCCACCAAACTCTTCCTCCCACCAAACCCAAACAAATACGCAGCAACCTTGCGCATCTGAATCTCCTCACTCCCCTCAGTAATCCTGTACCGGCGATGGTGTCTCCATATATGCTCAAACGGATAATGTCGCGAATATCCATTCCCACCATGGACCTGGATCGCGCGGTCCGCCGCCTGCGTACACAGTCTATTCGCGTAATAATTACACATGGACACCTTATCGCCAATCTTCTTCTCAATCTCGCTGTGCGGCATAGAGTCCATTTCCAGCGCCGTCTTCCGGATCAGCTGTCGCAGCATCTCGCATTGCGTGGCGAGTTCGACGAGCGGGAACTGGATGCCTTGGTTGTGCGAGAGCGGGGTTCCGAAGGGCGCGCGTTGGTTGGCGTATTCGACGGATTGTTGGACGCAGTATACGGCGGCGCCGAGCGACGATGCGGCTTGGCGGATGCGGTTCTCGTGGACGAAGGCTTGGGCGACGCCGAGGCCGTTGTGGATGGGGCCTAGAAAGGCGGTCTCGGGGACCCAGACGTCTTTGATTGAGACGGTGGCGTGGTCAGTGGGCATGTTCAGTGTCCTGGGCGTTGTTAACAGACAATATGGAGCGCTATGCGGCCAACGACGTACCACTCATACGACTCTGCCTTGAGCCCTGGCGTTTCTACCGGTACGACGAAGCACGAGATGCCCTTTATATCGCCATCCTTCCCTGACGTCCTCGCAAAGACCGAGCAGTGTGTAGCGTGGTGCATGCCAGTCTGCCACCGCTTGTATCCATTCAACACCCATCCCTTCACACCATCCCTCGTCTCCGGCCGCCCCTTTGTCGCCATGTGTGTCGCATCCGAACCATGACCGGGCTCCGTCAAGCCGAACGTCATCCTGAACTTGCCCTGCAGCCGCAGCGGTATGAAGTCCTTCTTCTGCTGCTCATTGCCAAAGTTCATGAGCATGATGACGTCGGGGAAGTTGCCGACCATCGAGTGCTCCGTCTGTAGGTCGTTGAACAGGCCCAGTCCCTTCGCGGCGAGATGCTCTCGGATGACGGCCATCCAGAGGTTGCTTCCCCGCCCATCGGCACTGTTCTGACCGCCGTATTGCTTTGGCAGCGACAGTCTGTAGAAGCCGGCTTCATCGGCTAGCTTCCTTGACTCTGCCAATAACTCCTCCCATTCCTTGCGCGGCAGGCCGCCGTTGTCCCAATCCGTTCGAGCGTGCTCGCGGCGGTGATCGAAGAAGCGGTTGTTGTCGCCTTTGTGTTGGAGCGGGGTGATCTTCTCGTCGATGAACTTGTCGAGATCGGCGAGGTATTGCTTCAGATCGTCGGGGATCGAGAAGTTCATCGTGTGCGACAGCGACATCGTGGGGGTCTCTTGATGGGTGCGGTGCGTGGAAGACGATAGGGGTCGTGTCAGCGATCTGGGTATTTCTCAATTGCGAACGTCAAGCTAGAAGCTCGCGGTATAAGGGCAAGCTTCGGGACGCGCATCTTGATGACTCGCTTGCTCTCAGTCGTGGAGTTGCTGTTCCAGGAGCGCTGCTTTGCGGGGAAAGAAGCACAGGCCAAGCGGAGTTGACCTCGGCCTTAGCTCAACACGCGAGTAACGCACGCACGACGTCCCCAATCATGAACACGATGTCTAGTTGCCAGGGTCGCGTCCGAGAGCAGACTTTTATCCCGCCCCTACGGGCTGTCGATAGACCATCTCCCAATCCGCAGCGATGACCTTGCAAGCCATGAGGGCCCCGAGACGAGAAGGGCGCGCATTGCGTCCGATCAGACACCGCAAACTTTACAATACGCCACAGTCTTCGCGCGATTTACACCAGTGTTAGCAAACCGAGAACCTGAAATTTGAAAAGCTGGGTCGTCGACATCTCGCATGGTCTGACACGCCATAGCTAAGTCTGCGGCGAAGAAATTGGTTCGTCTTGAACTGCATCCAGTAGTCATTCTACACCCACCCGCTTGCAAGGTCTATTGTTGTGTATGTATCGCAAAAAAAACTGCATTGGATATCTTCTTGGTACATTATTTTACTATACATTCATCCATGGTTCAGCACGGATTTCCTCCACTCATCCTACTTTCGCTACCAACGTATGGGCTTCGTTAACACCCGTACGCATATAAATCGGCTCGTACTAGATTTATTTCTTCTTTTATCAACTACACTGATATCCAGCCTGCCATAAATTCTCGACTTCCCGCTATGTCCAAACCAATGGATCCAGTTGTGACCTCCCAGTCGCCAGTCACACCATCTACTGGAAATGCCGGCCTAGAACACGACGCCAAAGACACTGACACTGCGCAAAAATCTACTTCGCTTCCAGATCATCCAGGCACTATCGAGCTCAGGGCAAGCAGCATTGTGCGAGAGTGCGAGCTCTATATGAACGGCTTCCCGGGTAGAGACAGTATATCTGCCAATCACACATTTCATCCGGCTATCAGGGGATTTCTCAGTGGAACGGTTGAGCCAACAGAAGAGAACCTTGACGCCATTCACGATATAATCAGCTATCGCAACAACTTAGCAAGGCTAGCAATGCACCTACTGGACGCCACCAACATTCCTCAGCCCAAAGGCTTGGACATATTCGACTTCGATAAAGACAACTTCGAGAAGCGCATGTCAGCGACGGCTCAGGTTAGGTGCATCGCTGCCTGGCAGGCTCTCCATACTGGATTGCTACCCCGCCCTGTTGAAGATGAGCAGCAACCACAAGGCCTCCCGTGGCACAAGCCAAACTGGTATATTGCTGCGGCCATTACGCTTGATAAGTCTATCAAGACTAATGCTGATATTGAAGGTGCTGTGGAACGTATGAGGGTTTGTAAGTACATATCGTTATGCTCCTCTAGGAGTTTCACTAACTTCGATTCGCAGACTACAAAGACCATTGTCAGGAATTCAAGACACTGCTCCACTACGATGGTGAGCTGACACCAAAAGAAGAATCTCAAGACTGAGGTCTCTGCATAGTAACAGCATCATATCATCCAATGCCAGCGCATAGGATTGGGGAGGCAGAATAGCAGCGACGGACACCCAAGAGTGGATAAATGACACTGACTGGAGGTAACCGGCAAATGCAGTCTATCTACACCTCGGCGACAGTAAGCTTGCTCTGAATATACCGACGGGATGACACACCAGTGAGATAACAAGACACAATATAATGTATGGCTCCAGGCTCATATTGTAACTCAAACAACGTCAACTTCACTCATCTCGTAAACCCCTACTACCCCGCGCGTCAACACTCAAACCTTCCGAAAGCCCTTATACCACCGCCTTTTCACGCCATTCTGCTCCGACGCCAGCTCATCCTCCGCCCGAATCTGTTCGTAGTCATCTGAAGAAACCGTCGCAAAAGACTCCGCAGATGAGTTCTCCTGCGACGTTCCCACGCCCGCGCTACCCCCACCAGTAGCATCGTCCGTCGCATTGAGTACCTTCAAAAGCTCCGCTTCTGCCTCAACTTGCGTCCGTCCACCTAGTTCCTCCGGCTTTGGTTGAGATCCGGCTCCATCACCCAACCCCTCTTTCCCCTTTCCAATCTTCCCCACATCCAACCCTACCGGCACAGCGCTTTGCCGCTCGAACGCTGTCTTCTTCGGCGATGACGACGGAGGTGGTAGATCCTGGAACGGCTTCAACCCCGCTATCGCTTTCGTCAACCTCTCGATCTCGTCTTCTTGAGCATTATTCTCGTTGCTATACACACTGCTATCCGCACCATCCCCCCCCTGCTCCTCCTTCCCTCGAACGTCCGGATCGTCAATCATACAACCCTCCTCCCGCTCATTCCGTCCCGGCACTGTTATACCCGGAACAAACTCAGACGCATGACGCTTCTCTTCCCGCGACGTGACTCTAGGAATACACCGGCTTTCCGAGTCACTTATCCGCTTGACCAACTCGCGGGGGATATGCTGTTCACCGTCATCGACAGCCTGCTCTTCTAGCACATCGCCCTCGAGTTGCGCGAGCGCTTTCGCTTGTTCTTCTGCGCGGAGAGCGAGGACGCGGTCGAGTGTGGGTGTGCGGTCTACGCTTCGTCGCTTGTTTGATGCGTTGAGCGGGGATGGCGCTTCGTTGATCGCCGAGAGAGGTCCGGTCTCTGCACTCTTCCTAAACGAAGCAGTCCTAGACTTCGCCTGCTTCGCCGATATTATTGTTGGGTTCTCGAAAGCGAATCTAGGCAGAATCGGGGGGAGGGGCGCGCTCTTCCTCTTTACTATTGTTGTCTTTGGCTCATGTTCAGGTAGTGATGGTAATGGCTGATCTGCTTTGATCTTCCCACGCTTCTCTGTCGCTAGTTTGATGGCATCGGTGGTGTCCTGGCGCAGCTTTTGATTCACGTCTTTGGTGCCGAGGAAGTTGTATTTATCTGGACTTCTTAGGTCGGTGTGGTTCCGCGGGTCTGCGGCGTCGAAGTAGGGCGTGAAATCTCTCCTATTGCTCTTGTTGTCTTTGATAGCGGTCTTAGATGTTTTCTTCGATAGAGGAGATGTCGTATGAGTTGCTTGATCTTGTGCATACGGTCCACCGCCAACAATCTCGGCATATGGATTATGCCACTGATGTTGACCATAAGTTTGAAGATCCGCAACTTGATCCTGCTGCCGCTGCTGCTGGCCCTGCGTAGTTCCTGTCTCACCACCACCACCAGAGTTCTTCGCGTATGCGTGATCTAGATTTCGGGGTGTTGCATTGGAGATATCGTGGATTGCGCCGCTTGCATCGTCCCAGTATGGCATCGTCTGCATATCATATTGGAATGGATCGCTATTCCGCTGCGCATTCCGAATCGACTCAGTATGCTGACTTTGAGGTTGCAGGATCTGTGGGGCGGGGTTTGGATCACTTGATGCTTGGACGTGGCCTCGTCGGTGTGGGTATGCGTTTCTGGGTCCGCGAGGCGGGTTCCAGTTTGGGTCTGGCTGTGTCATTTTGGGGGTTGAGGATAGCCTGTATGTCGGAGTTGAGGTGAGTAGATAAAGTAGTGTCACGATATGGAGAGGATTTGTGCTTTTGCTTGCAAGAGGCGATTTGTAAAGTAAGAAGTACGAAGGAGGAATGTGGTTTCCGTGAGGCAGGCGGATGTAGATGGCGTATGTGAGTATTGTGTGAGTGAATGAATGGGGTTATTGTGCGCTGTGTTGGCCGCCTGTTGCTCTGGTGATTTGGTCACTGATGAAAGATGGTGTTCGAGAATGTGTGCAGGTCTTGAAGCTACAAGAAGTCACGTCATGAGATTGGAAGTCAGCGCTGCAGAAGGCCATGAGTAGTAGCACCTACCTATTCTTCTAGTGATCACTTCAGCAATCATCCTGTCATGCCGATCAATCACATTGACAACAGAGTCTTTCCATCAACCCGTAATTACTCAGAACAGCTTCTCTTCATGCTGCTAGTGTCAACGTGGCACCTTGCCATTGAAGGCCGTCGGAATGTCTCGGTCGACCTCTTCAAAGTCTTCAGTCAATTCGTCCTCATACTGTACCATCTCAAAGCTCTCACCTAAACCTTGTTCTTCATCATGCCAGGTCCTCGGCCTTGTGCGTGACGCGTACGGCAATTTCGACTCGTCAGTGGGTCCGTTCTGCGTCTCGTTGGCGTTCATAGCTTGATCATCACATTGTGAGTAGGTAAATACCTGGCCAAATTTATCGATACCTTGAAGGGGGTTATGTGGCCCACGGACCTGGCCAACGCCATTTCTCCTTGACGTCAGCGCAGTATTGAGGCCGAAAGTGATGTCTTCCATGTCCCCGATCTTAGATTGGCGTCTTCCCGATGCATCACGTCTGGGTGTGTCGTGTGTACCAAACCGAACTCCAGATTTCCGTGATCGGCGTGCTATATCTTCAGCAGTGGGCTGAGGATTTACTGGCACATTTGGTCGCAGCTCTTGTGTGCCGTAGTATATCCTCGAGCGCACGCTATGCCGATCTATTGGTGCGTGCGCTACATCGGGCGTTACAGCGCTTGGGTGAGGTACGGACGTTTCTAATTCGGAAATGGGTGGGAACATGGAGAGGCGCATGAGCTGCCTGTGGCGGGCGCGAGCCGTAGCAGAAAGCGAGTCGCGCCCACTGGGAAGTGACTGATCTTGCGACATGTTGAGAAGTGAGCAAAGGTACTGTATTGCTGAGCAAGATGGAATGCGCGAAATCTTTGACTGAAGATGTAAGCTCTCAAATAGATGAGGCGCGGTGTTGCTGGCAGTCCTGCTCCAGCGATGTTTTGGCAAAGCTACGACACAGCCAACTCAGACAACGCGCTTGCGTAGCCATTCCATCGACATCGTCGTGCGTGACAATCGCCATCGATAGCGTGGCGCTTCCAGTGAATCTGTATTGATGCAAGCCCTCCGGCGTTGAATCTTTGCCATAATATCGCCACGCGCTGCTGTGATGTCGCGGTTTGTGAATGTTTCCTCCAACGTAGCGCGTCTGGGGGACAATTGTGTGTCACTCAGCGCAATGGCGACCGGATTGTGCAGTATACCTCGGTGATTCTCGAGCAAAGGTAAGGGGCGAACATGATTACTATACAGGAAGAAATCTCATCCCTCGTTCACCTCAAATGCGTGGAGAGGTGGAGACGTGTAAATTGCAGGAGGGGGTGTTGTGGCGCGCGCCACACCCAGGCAGCCTGAGCGGGTCAACTTCGTCCGCGCCATCGTAATACTTGTTTGCTACACTGCGCGACCCTTGGTGAGCAACCTGGACATAGTCGCAAAGTTTACCTTACACATTGTACTCATGCGTGTTTACCGGTTGCGTGGTAATGAACAGCCCTGGAGCTGGCCCGCGACAATCACGTGGTGCGCTAGCCACGCGAGACAACCTGGCCCTATCTGATGTTTCATCCTTCCACATCTCCGCTGTTTCCACCAACGACTCGTCGTTCGCGACCCAACGCATCCTTGCGCCATACCACAACGTCCTGCGAACGCTTGATCTGGCACTGAGAAGCGCGCTGATGGAAACAATGTCCGGCTTGGCGCACGCGTGGCTGCACCATTGAAACAAAGCCGCTGCCAGACGGGCACTAGCATCGTGACGCCCTTGACATTGGTTCATGCCATCACGCATTTGGCAACATGGCCGTTACGGGAAGGATCGCAACCAATATGGATACGAAGCAGGTGTATGCGATTACAGAGCGGTAGGTATATTAGGATTTGGCCTGCTCGTGATGTGGGTTGTTGTCATCCGCTACACTCATTCTCTCGATTACCTTTCGGATATCCTCTCATTTTCTCTCGTTGAATACCTTGAGCGGAATCTTCGGCTGGTCTGAGTGACGTTCTTTATCTTCTCGCCCATACTACATTTGCCTCTTTCAAACCCCTTCACCAAGACTGCAACATGCGTTTCGAGATTATCGCACTCCTGGCAGCAGCTGCCACCTCGTCCGCTCAATCGGTTGTCGGTACAGCTTATGGCTACGGTGCTGGCGCGACAGGCGGAGGAAAGGCTGCTGCTGTCACCCCAACGTCAAACGAGGAGCTGGAGAAGTACCTGTCCGACGACACCGAGCGCGTCATTCTTCTCACTCAGCAATTCGACTTCACTGGCAAGACCACCTCTGGTGCTGGTTGCGACAAGACCACTTGCTCAGCTAAGAGCGGCGGCGGACAGTACTACTTGGGCGACCTCTCCTGCGGTGGCTCGGATATGACGCCCGTCAGCTCCATCACCTACGACGCAGGCGCCGAAACAGCCTTGAAGGTCGGATCGAACAAGTCCATTCTTGGTGTTGGCGGAAAGGGTGTGATCAAGGGCAGAGGTCTCTCCATCGCCAAGGATGCCAGCAATGTCATCATCCAGGGCGTTGAATTCACCACGATCAACCCCGGCGTCGTGTGGGGTGGCGATGCTCTCGACATGCAGGGAGGAAACACCAAGATCTGGGTAGACCACTGCAAGTTCTCCCTCGTCGGCCGCATGTTCGTCGTCAGCCACTACGACGGCTCTGAGGCTACCCTTTCGAACAACGAATTTGATGGTGTCACTACCACCTCTGCTACCTGCAACGACAACCACTACTGGACGATGATGATGATCGGAAAGACTGAGAAGTTTACTCTCGACAAGAACTACTTCCACGACGTTTCCGGTCGCGCCCCCAAGCTTGGTCAGGATGGTGTCAACAGCTACTTCCACGCCGTCAACAACTACTTCGAGAACATGAAGGGCCATGCATTCGACGCTTATGACGGCGTCAGTGCGCTTGTTGAGGGTAACGCTTTCGTCGCTGTTGACCAGCCTAACACCGAGCACGCTGCCGGTGTCACCACCTTTGTTAGCAAGGGTGGCGATGCCTGCTCATCCGTCTTCGGCCGCGCGTGTCTTGAGAACAGCGTCGACTCTTCCAGCGGCGAGCTCTCACCAGGCTCATCCTCCGGCTTCATTGCAAAGCTTGGAAAGATCGACGTTCCCGAGCCGATGGAAGCCAGCAAGGTCGCCGCCTACGTCAAGGCCAATGCTGGTCCCGCAAACCTCGGTGCTTCGTCTTCATCTGCCCCCGCTGCGGAAAAGGTCGTCGATGCTGATGCCCCAGCCAAGGTTACCGAGCCTACCGTTGCCACTAGCAGCGCTACCAAGCCCAAGCCCGCGGCTACCACCACCGCTGCTGCTGCGCCAGCACCTGCTGCCCCCACCGGATCTGGCTCTTCTGCCGGCGCTGCCAAGCTCTACGCTCAGTGCGGTGGTCAGGGTTTCACTGGCCCTACTGAGTGCGAGGCTCCTGCAACATGTGTGAAGAGCAATGACTGGTACTCTCAGTGCATTAACAGCTCTTCCAAGTTCCGTCGCGCCCTCGGACGCTACTTCTAAGCGTTGAGTGCATGTAAGATGCGAAGGACGATTGACCGATAATACTGCGGATGGGAGACGATGTCAAGGTCTGAAAGAGACGATTCTTGTGTAAATACTTCTATTTCAATTCATTTGGCGTACACGCCGTATATTTTTCAACTTGACAAAGTGCCATAAATGCTGTATATTCTCGTCGCTGTGTCCTCCCAAGCTCTGCGCAGTTCGTTGGCGATCATCATCGAATGCGACACACCAGATGTCATCTCTGCCTTTCAAACGCCACGCTATGCAATGTGTACAAGGAAAACCTGCTCCCGAACATGCCAATACGCCTCCAGTTATGCCCCGCTACTCAATAAGTAAGCTAACAACCTCGTCACTCTTGGCTTCGGCATCGTAGGAGCTCAGCGGTTCTTGACGCCGCATTCCTGTGCATATGACTGCTATCGTCCTGTGACATCCCTTCTGTCTGCCATCAGGGCTTCTTGAGATTTTCATCTTGCCCGAGACTGCTTTGCGCATCGCTGTTCGCTGCTTTCGGATCTTCCGCCACGATTCGCAAGACCGCGAACTTGCGTACCATGCTTTCTGGATTAGCCGGTAGCTGTGTCTCCACAGTCGGTTCTGCTATTGGCTGGTGTTCCTGGAGGCGCCGTGCAGCTGGCTTACAGGACTTCTTCTTCAACTGTTTTCCGCATCCCTCCCGGCTATGGTCGTTCTTATCGCCCAATCGCTTCATCCAGTTGGTGTTAAAGACTGGGCGGTGTTGTTCATTCACCTCCGGATCGCGTACGCGCGCTTCAAGATTCGGATACTCCTTTAGCATAGCCAGCATATCTTCGTCAACTCCTGGTACCTCTAAACCGTCGCTACCGGCCTCAAACTCGCGAAGCCGTTGACCAACAGCCTTGATCGCTGCGTAGGTGTACCGGCTGTTCTTGCCGAGGCAGTTCCAGAGCGTCTCCAACTCTACAGCAAAGATTGGTCGAGCGAGATGACACTCGGCGATGTAATGATCTACTCTTAATGCATCTTTGTGGAGATCGAAGAGCTCCATCGTGCGAGCCAACGAGCAAGCGACAAACGTGTTCTTCGGGACGCGAATCTGCTTCATCGAGCTC